TGTATTTAAGATCTTTCAGACTACATAAAATCAAGTGAACATATGGGTTGAACTCGTATTGAATAGCTGAACTCGTGTGAAATTCACACTGAATGCGTGAAAACCATACTCAAAGACCACAAAAATTAAATGTATGGTCAGTTATAGTAGGTACTTATTTAATTGGGCCATTTTTTATCGAAAGAAATTTAACGTCAGATAGTTGGTGTAAATGTTCGGCGTTATTTAGATGAGATATTTCCCGGACGATAAATTGGTAGACAAGGTAGAATTGAATGGCCTCCACGTTCACCCGATCTCAATCCTAAAGATTATTTTTATTAGAGATACTTGAAAAATTCAGTTTACAAAACTTAACCAGCAAGTCTTGCATAGCTAAGGCAATGAATTATCGATGAATCTCGAATAATTTCTAGACAATCATGGAGAAATGTGGTAGACGCATTCTACCATCGATTAGAGTGCTGTCAACTCACAAATGAAGTACATTTTGAACACTTAATAACGTAACTATTATGTTAAAAAATATTCTAAACTATCAATTGTTACGTTTTAATGTATTTGAAAATAGTTAGTATTAAAAAATGTATTGAAACAATTTAGGCGTTGCCAGACTTCTGTTTTATGTATTTAAGACCTTCCAGACTACATAAAATCATAAGTGTTACATATAGTTGAACTCGTATTTAATAGGAGATTCCAATAATGACTGAATATACAGGGTGATGCATTTGAAAAACCAAAGTTACTAGTAATATAAGAGAAACTGAAAATCTGGCAACATTGCAAATACCAAATTTTGTATAAATACGTCTAGTAATTTACGACATAATTAGCCGTTTTCAGAGTTTTGGGCCACTCTGTATATACATATAGGGTGTGGCAGATAAACAGCCAATTAGAAATATCTCAAAAACTAAAGGTAACTGAATTATGAAAATTGGAATGAAGATGTTTTGAACAGTGAACTGTTTAATGGAAATATCTAAAATATTTTTTCCATCACCTATATATCTCGATTTGCTTATCGGAACTTCGTTTCTTAATGGGACACCCTGTATATTTTTTAAGATTAGCTATTCTGAGTATTTTTATTAATACTTCCCGAAATTTACCTGTTATAAACCGTTTTTGAGTTATAATGGCTTTTATACGAAAATTACACTTTTCTACCTGTTAGTGTAACAGAATAATATCCAGAACTTGCCGTGTTTTTGCTGAGAGATCCTGAGAAGTCACGACCAAATAATAAAACTGTAAAACGTTTTTGAACAACTGCTCCCCGTTTGGTCAGTTTATAAGTAACAGGAATAAGCCCAAGACTCACGTCGACTATGAAAACTTACAAATAGATTATTCGTATATACTAGCTCAACATCTACATCCCGGAGATTATGCAAGACTTGTAGAATTTTGTGAATGGGTTTTAATGGAGTGATAAGATGAACAAAATTTTGCAAAAAAAGTATGTTTAAACGCTATTACTGATTCTGGAGTGACGTAAATAGGAGAAGCCAAATCTAAAATGCACGAGAATAGACAACTTTAATCATAAAGAACTCACAGAAAATTATTTAATGTAAAAAATTTGCTACTGACAGATTACAATTTAAGGAAAATGGCTAGGGACTCTCAGTCCCGATGTTAAGTCATAACAAAATAGAGTCAGTAAAGTAAATTAGGGAGAAAGTTAACATTTGGCTACCCCTACAGATAGGTGGCATAACCACAGTTATTAAAAACGGAAGGTATCTCATTACCCAGGGTACCTTTAGTAAATCTAAGATCAAGCCTCCTCACGTCAGTCGTACGAGAGGAGGGTGAGGAAAAACCTGGGGTCAGATAAGTACCACTTCAACTAGTGAATGAACTAGGTTTGATCTTCGGACATGTGGATCCACCCATATGTGGTATAACATGTTCCTAGGGAAGGGTTCATCAGCTCGTGGTTAATGTGTGTGTGTGTGTGTGTGTGAAAAGGCTAGGTTCTCAACGCCATAGGGGCGAATTGTTAAAAAGAACTCCAAACGTCCAATTGCTTCTGGGTACCATTTTGGAGAGAGGGGATTCTACCAGAATTTGTAGTATATGTCAATATTGCTATTCCTACTGTCAAGCTGCAATACAATCGGTAATTATGATCTTTAAAGGGGTATGGAAATTTATGTAAAATCTAATGGATGTTAACGAAATGTGAGACAACTACAAAAGGTGTTAAAACCAGAATTGCAGCTGGTTTTCGAAAGCGAATTTAGTTGTAAACTTAGATAGTCAATCAACCTTACTTTTGAATTTAACAAGAGATTTAATTGTACCAGAACTGCACGCTTTACGTAATAATGAGCCTAACGGGGCTTAGTTTCAACGAGATGGAGCATCGGCTTATAATAGTCGAGGAGTCAGCAAATTTCTTCATAAAATATATAGCCATAGATTGATAGCTAATAAAGGTCCGTTTCTCTGGGAGGTGATTCTCTGCATCCGCAAGGAATGTCTTTGCATATCTGAAATTGTTCACTAGTGTACCGTTAATGATATGCCGTCATGTACGTCCTCTAGTGCCTCTTTAGTAGCGGGGACAGTGCACATCCTTGTTGTACTCCTCGCCTTATAGATATTTCTTTAGACTTTTGTGTGTCTACTCGTATTATGACTTTCTGATATCGGTATAAATTGGTAATGATTCTCACATCCAGATCATCTATTTCTGTGTTCCGAAAAGAAAAGTTTCAACCTCCCTATTAGAGTATATTTTCCATTTTTGTAAGTTTGGTTTATTTTCTCTGACACCTATTTCTGATTTTATTTTCTTTCCCTAATTTCTTTTTTTCTACCTACTTCTCATTTTTGTTTTTAATATTTTTTATGTTCCTTGTAACCATTGCTTCACCAGTAATGTTACCGAAATTATTGTCGCTGTCGAGTATGTCATTGTTTTAATTCTCAGAACTAATTAGGACTCAATGCCCTTCAGAGCCTCTGTCTTCGATTATCTTTTGAATTCTCTTCTATCCCTCTGTGTAAGCTTGGTAAGAATGTTAGAGTTTAAAGAATATTATTGTAGATAGATGTTTATCTATTTTTTGTTGTATTTCATTTATCTTCTGATTGCATTGGGTCACACTGAAGTGAAGGAGTTTTATCGAAAAATACATTTATTTATTCTTGTTAGAATTTGTTTTTTAATACTGACTTTTGCTCTGTTTTAGCTGTGGGAAAAGATGTAGCAGATTTTATTAGCAAATTATTAGTAAAGGATCCTAGGAAACGGTTAGGAGGTGGAGAGGAAGATGCCAAAGAACTGAAACGACATCCGTTCTTCAAATGCTTGGATTGGGATAAGTTAGCCAGAAAGGAAGTACCCGCTCCATTTATACCTGTGATAAGGTAAACACCATTACTATATAAAATTCATAAAAATTCATTTTGTTTTTTGTTACATAGTGAAAAATTCTTCTAATAATTTAATTTTATCTGACTCATTTATATTGACAAGTCAGACATACATTATGCATTTTAAAGTAGACGACTTTAAAATGATATTGCCAATATTGTTGAGTTGCGCTCCTGGGACGACTTTACTTATAAGATAGTTCATTCGATTACATGAAATCAACTTTAACTTGAGAATATCCGTCAGAAAAAAATCATAGTATGTAATTCGTCTTTAAAAAGACAAACACATGACATGATGACAGTAAAATTCTCCTGTTAGTGATTCCATAGTAAATTATGAGGGAAAAACCAGGAAAAAAATCTCATAATACTATCCCGACATTGTAAGTATTTGTTCGTGAATTTAGTTTACCTTCAACAAACACCAAAATTCTGATTTTAAATGTTTCGTTATTTAAAAAAACATAAATGATGTATCCTCTATATGTTACTGACTTACTAATACTGGTATTTTCTTATTATAACTTCCTCTTTCAATATTGGTAACCAGATCCTACTACATTCTGCCGAGGAATTTGCTACACAATTGGCCTCATTTAGCATAATTAGAGCCGCTTCTTTGATTTTTTTTTTTACCATCCGTTTCTTTTAGGACTACATTTGAATTATTCCATTGAACCCTATGTTCATTATCCCATGCGTGTTTACATATTTGAGATCTATCAATAGATATTTAAATTTCAAATCAAATCACAATATTAATGTAAAAAAGGGAATAATTAAATCCTTATACGATAGAGCCAAAATTACTTGTTCTAACGAAAATTCGTTCTTGAAGGAGAAACATTTGTTAACATCTGTGTTATTAAAAAATGATTATCCTTTATCGTTTATAAATAAGGAATTTTCAACAATCGATCGAATAGAACAGAACAACTTAGAACGAGATCCTACAGCATACACAAGGAATAATATGAGGAAAATAACAATACCGTACATAAAAGGATTATCAGAAAAACTTAAAAGGATAGGAAATAAATTCAACATTTCAACAATATTCAAAACAACAAACACGTTAAGATCTATTTTGTCCAAAACCAAACCTAACAATGAACAAGAAAGGACAAAGAATTGCATTTATAAAATACCTTGCGAATGCGATCAGTTTTATTTAGGTGAATCATCAAGGCCATTAAATGTTAGAATAAGTGAACATCAATCTTATATTACAAATAGAGAATTTGATAGATCTCAAATATGTAAACACGCATGGGATAATGAACATAGGGTTCAATGGAATAATTCAAATGTAGTCCTAAAAGAAACGGATGGTAAAAAAAAGAAAAATCAAAGAAGCGGCTCTAATTATGCTAAATGAGGCCAATTGTGTCGCAAATTCCTCGGCAGAATGTAGTAGGATCTGGTTACCAATATTGAAAGAGGAAGTTATTAATAAGAAAATACCAGTATTAGTAAGTCAGTAACATATAGAGGATACATCATTTATGTTTTTTAAATAACGTAACATATAAAATCAGAATTTTGATGTTTGTTGAAGGTAAACTAAATTCACGAACAAATACTTACAATGTCGGGATAGTATTATGAGGTTTTTTTCCTGGTTTTTCCCTCATAATTTACTATGGAATCACTAACAGGAGAATTTTACTGTCATCATGTCATGTGTTTGTCTTTTTAAAGACGAATTACATGCTATGATTTTTTTCTGACGGATATTCTCAAGTTAAAGTTGATTTCATGTAATCGAATGAACTATCTTATAAGTAAAGTCGTCCCAGGAGCGCAACTCAACAATATTGGCAATATCATTTTAAAGTCGTCTACTTTAAAATGCATAATGTATGTCTGAATTGTCAATATAAATGAGTCAGATAAAATTAAATTATTAGAAGAATTTTTCACTATGTAACAAAAAACAAAATTTGTTTAATTTACTGTTTGTATTTTGAGAACGATTTCCGAAGTGGAAATTGAAACGTCAATAAACGTATTTTTATCTTTAATTGTGGCTTATTTCCAGTTAAATAGTAATTAAAGAACTGTTACATTTCAAATCATATTTAATTTTTTTCTTCTTTTAGGAACGAATTGGACGTGTCCAATTTCAGCGAAGAATTCACTGCTTTGCCCCCAACAGACTCCCCTGCCGTCGTTCCTCTGAATTATGACAAAATCTTCAAGGGATACTCCTATGTCGCACCTTCCGTTCTCTTCAGCAAAAATGTTATATCCGACGATCTCCTTCGACCCAACAAAGAGCATGCTAACATCAAGAACTTCCGTTTGAGTAATAGTCCATTTTTCCAAAACTTCGATATTGATTTTAATGAAGAAATACTTGGCGATGGTACCTTCTCCATTTGCAGGAAATGTGTTAATAGGCAAAATGACAAAGAATTTGCTGTAAAGATAGTGAGTAGAGCTAGAGATTGTACCCAAGAGATCAATCTCCTAAGAGCCTGTCAAGGTAATCCGAACATAGTAACACTGCACGACGTCGTCCAAGATGACAGTCATACTTATCTTATTATGGAGTACTTAAAGGGAGGGGAGCTGTTTGATCGTATAAGACGGAAGTCCAAATTTACTGAAAGTGAAGCTTCTGTAATTATGAGGAAACTGGTATCGGCTGTGAGCTTCATGCATTCGCGTGGAGTGGTCCATAGAGACCTTAAACCTGAAAACTTGGTATTCACGACTGATGACGATGACGCCGAAATTAAGATAATCGATTTTGGCTTTGCTAGACTGAAACAAGAACAGGAATCACTTCATACTCCATGTTTTACCCTTCAGTATGCAGCTCCTGAAGTTTTAAAAGGGGACATTGAAGGATACGACGAAAACTGTGATTTGTGGAGTCTGGGAGTAATACTCTATACCATGCTTTGTGGTAAGTGCATCAATTATTTTTGCAATGAAACTATCATGTTAACCGTTTCGTACTATTTTAGGCAAGGCTCCTTTCCACGCTAGGTCCAGAGACGAAACCGTATCGTCAATAATGACTAGAATTAAAGATGGAGACTTCAATTTTGATTCCGCCAACTGGCAGGGAGTCAGTAAAGAAGCCAAATTCGTCGTCGAGGGTCTTCTGACCGTAGACCCTTCTCAAAGACTGAGAATGATCGATCTCCAGAACAACAACTGGATTCAAGGCAGTCAGAACTTCTCTCAAACACCTCTCATGACTCCAGATGTACTTGGATCTACTGCTGAAAGGTTTGTTGAATGTTTGATATTCTTTTCTCGAAATCGAAATGCTTTGTCTATGGTTCCTTTATAATTAGGGCATATTTTTAATATTAAAAAACTACATATTGGCATCAGGAGAGAGAATGTAATTGTTGTAAATAAAAGTGGCTTTTCCTTAGCCTACAATAAAATGAAATTTATTAAAAACAATTCGTACTAATTTTTTTCAATTAAAACTTACTTTCTAAGTACCAAATCCTAATTTGTGGGCCTCTCGATGATAATGTTGATCTAGAAACGTGTCTTCCAATAACGTCACTCTATAAAAATGCCTAACTCCATGTAATTTGCTCGCCGATTTTTCACTATAATGCGTTTTAATGCCCTTCGATCTGCTTCGGGTATTTCTAGGTTTTGTGACGACCGAACCTGTAGTTTTGTATCTTCTGACAATATTTCTTAAGGCGCGTACAAGATATGCGAGCCAAACGGTATACGAACGGTACGCGTACAGCTCGTTGAAAATATATCTACATCGAACGGTTCGCGAACATCTCGCGAGCCATGGAAAGCGAAAACCAGCAACGAACACACATGTGCGAAATGATTAATTTTATTTATAATTTGGGTACTGATTTATTGTGTTTCTGTTTCTCATCTATATAATATATATATATATATATATATAATATATATATATATACTATATTATGTAATAGAGTCCCTAATATAGGCTAGAATAAATAAAAAATTTCAAAAACTTCAACCGACTCCAAAAAAAAACAATTTGGGAGATTTGTTACAACCCACAAAAGTTTCCTCTACACACATAAATAAGTCACGTTCAATAATGTAAATCAAGACATCATTTGCTTGTTTAACAAAAATAAAAATATGTACAATAATCCGTTTACTGTTTTTTTCACGTCTTTCTAGGAAGGAACACGTCATTCATACAATTTCGATTTGATGAGACAATAAAAATGTTCGCTGCGTTTAGTAGCGCCGTCCAAAACTGAACGACGAGCTTCCTTTGAAGTCGTGGAATAAACCGCCACAATTTGGTTCGCCACGAGCAACGAACGAACAGTTCGCGAGCAGTTTTGTCTGCCGTACAAATGAACGAATATTGTGTTCGCGAACCGTATGCATACCGCTCGGCTCGCATATGTGTACCGAGCTTTACACTATTGGCGACGTGCAAGTACTTGGATGTGATACGAGAAAACGATCGTGCGCGAGTAGCGGAGAAATCTTGCATTTTTTACTGCACATTTCATAGATTTCATTAATTCATATTGTCAATTGTCAAATCGTCATATTTTATATTCGTTTGTTTATTTACACCTTTTGTCACTGAAGAAAATGGGATTTAGTAAATGCTGTGTTATAAATTGTAAAAATACAACAAAAAATTGTCAATTTAAGTGTTATTCCTTTCTAACTTCGAATCACAAATTACTACAAAGAGAAAAGTGGATTTATATCATAAAAAAGCATAAGTAAATAACATAACCTAAATTATGCATTATTCTTGAGCCCAATTTTAAAGTAAGTTTGAAATAAATAATAAATAAAAGTTTACTTTATAGTGAAAATTTTAGTTTCATAACACTCACTTAGAGTTAACTTTAACCCAAAAATCAAGGTTTATGCTAATGTAACTTTAAGTTTAGCCATGTGTTACATAGCTTTGTCCATTTTTTCTTAATTCTTCCACATTCTTATCATAATTTGCCACTACTAAAGCTTTTCCCTTTGACTCAGTGCTTGGTTGAAAAGTTATTTGGTGATTTACTTTCTCAAATCCAGTTTTTATTATTGCATCCATATTAACAGTAATGCTGTAATTTAATAATGTATTTAATTGTATTTACAGTACATACAACGTTTCTTCTTCTTCTTCTTCCTTTATTGGGTAAACATACAACGTTTACCTTTTAATAACATATCGACATAACCTCAATCTTACCTTTTCTTCTTATTCTTTTTTCGGGCTACGTCCTTGACAGTTAACCAGGTAATCTCGACCTTGACAGGTAACCTCTATTTAACATGAAAACGCAGTAAATTTTGCTAATTTACGACACCAGGTATCGCTCTTCCGAACTTGCACGGTCCCAATAGCGCGACAATTGCAGCATATTCGCGATTTCCTTATTGGATTTTCCAGAATTAAAAAATCTAACAATGATTGAATACATTTTCTCATCGATAACTTTTGACATTGACAATATTATTGTTTATTTTGATGTCATTTTTTCTCTCTCTCTCTCACTCTCTCTCAAATAGGTCGGGAAAATTAATAAAACAATTAAAATGTTTAAAAATTACAAATACCGATGTTTTTTTTACTTTTCTTGCATCACTTTAAAACAATTCATTTTGGTGCAAAATCGTGAAGAAATAAAAAAACGGCAATTAAATTTTCTATAAAAAAACGGCTGGTTAAAAATGTTTTAATTTATTACCCTAGTTTTTGAACTAGTTAGGGATTAATTTTTATATAATAGATTCTTATAGAGCGTTTTTTTATTTTTAGGATTCTCCAGACGACCTTCAGTGCCTTCCATAAAGCGGAACGAGAAGGGTTCCGTCTGCAAGACGTGCTCAATGCCAAGTTAGCGCAACGCAGACGAATGAAGAAGAGTTCATCCGATAATAATAGCTCCAGTTCGTCTTTTACCAGTGAGAGCTCGTTAAAGAGTGGCGCAGTTACTCCTGCGCGCTCGAAGCTCTCGCTAGAATTGATAAAGACTGAAGAACTCGCCGCTCCTGAGCCCCAGGAGACCACAAGAGTGAACGAATTTTCGAACACGATAAATTCGAGCAGTTCTGATTCCAGGACTTCTGATGCTTTTAGGGAATCTACCAGCTCTAGTGGAATTGTTGTATCAGATAAAAATTCCGTCGACAGTAAGACCGAGAAGAAAAAGAGAGGCAGGAAGAGGTACATCCAGTCCAGGCAGAGCGAGAGGATACGTAGAACTAGATTAGAAATCGACGGGGAACCACCTATGGAATTCATTTCCCTGCCAAATAGGACTAGGAAACGTAAGATCCAGGAAGTCGATGGACTAGAAGAGCACCCGGAGACACCTCAATCAAAAATCAGAAAGAAAAGTTTCTTCTACGAATAGAAAGAAAAAGCGGTAGACTTTATTTTTATTACGTTACATAGTTATTATTAGTTACAAGTCATTTGTAGGTGTTAGATTGAGGTGCAGATGCGTTTTGACTCCAGATTGTATGTACAAGCTGTCCCAAATTCTAGGTAATTCTTACGAAAGAATGTATCTTTCGCCAATTGTATTTAAAATTGAATAAGTGTGTATTTATTATTGTTTATAAGAACGATCAAAAACTCTTTTTGGGACGTCCTGTACTAAAACTCAGTATTTTGAGAAAATCGTTGGTTATACGCAAAAAATTGGGGATGTACGGGAAGTAGAGGTTTGTTACCATACCATAAAAAAATCTAAAAATGTGATAAAAATGGTTAAATATAAATTTAAAAAATCCCTGTAAAATACACTTTTTGGTTACTTAGATAAAAATGCCGAAGCTCTTTAGATTGCGATGGGGTCTAGTGAAACGATTTGGTTCTACTGATAATTGTGAAAGGCTGTGATGATGGATTTCTCTAGCAATTGTGAAAATTATAAAAAAAAATACAAAACACTATCCAAATGATACAATTCAAAACAAAACTTCCATTTTTTACTTTTTTTTCGAAATTCCGACAACAATTTTTAACTGTTATTAACAAACTGTTCTTGCAGATTGTTTCGCCAAATGCCGGAGAACTCTTTGAACCTTTTTGAAATCTCTATCGCATCTTCGAGCATCGATAAAATCAAATTCCATTTTTATTTCACAACAAACTTGTTAAGTGCACTTCTTTATTAGGATGAATGTTTAAAAATTTTTCTACAGACTGCCATTTATTGTCGAAAAGAAACCTTTTTAACAAACATGTCAATGTTTATTAACTTTTATTATAGTTCTATTATACACGTTATTTTTTTTAATATACCTTGTATGCTAATACCTTTGTAGCACGATTCTTGATATGTTCTACAAGGTTACGACATACACCCAAATATATTTGGTGTCAGCCATAATGCGCTCGACCGTTTTGTGCCCTTACCTGAAATCGGCTGGTTTGCACTTTCTTAATGGAGATGTACATATAGCTAATTATTTTCTTATATCGACCGTTTTGCGCTCTCTTGTAATAGACGTTTAATTTTATTCTACCATAACGATCAGGTAACGGTTAGGCTAGTAAAATTAGTTTTAGAAAATCATAAAACTATAAAAAAATAAAAATAAACCATCTTCCCTTCACACTTTCATTCAGGCTTAGGACTGTCATAGTTTATACATAATATAAACATAGGCGTGTTTAGATGTTTTTTTTATTTTTAATTTTTTTTTAATTTGTTAATTATTTTTTTGTTTTTTTTTTTATTTTTTTTGTTTTTTTCTCGTTTTTTTTTTCAAACTTTTTATACAGTAAAATACAAAAAATTCTTGGGAATAAAAAATTGTCTATTTATTGCAGCTTCTGGATATACAGTAGAATCCGGTTATAACGACGGCCAAGGGACCTGTGTCATTGCGTCGTACTAACCGGAAGTCGTTATAAAGAGATGGCAATTTTGATTTTTGTTTTTTACGACATAATATTTACATATTAATGTTTACATGATACATTACAGAAAAAAAGACATTCAAATCAAAATATTTATTTCTAATAGGAATGAAAAGAAATGAAAAAATAGTTTCACATAAACTTTGCCAAATACATATGTATGTACCTACATATCTATACACATATAATACGTACATATATAAATATGTATAACTAAAAGTGAAATACCTAGTGGAAAAAGTCTGTAATCTTTGACTGTTTTTGATTTTTATAAAAACAAGTACGAACTGCATTATGCAAACGAGACATAAGACTTTTCATATTGTCGTCATTAAAATTAGAATGCACAAACACATTCAACACTTCTGCAGCTTTGAGAGCTTCATTTACACTCGGAAACGTACAATTTTCTTCCAGGCAGTCATCTGTATTATCGTCGCTATCTTGGCTGTTGACGATAATATTTTGTAGAATATTTTCGTCAGTAGGCTCCTCACACGTTGCGAGATCATCATCAACAGCAGAATATTGTTCAAGTTCTTCATTTGCTATAGGTAGTCTTTTATTCAGAGCTCTCGCCCAGAGAGACAGCGGAACCTGATCATCATCGTCGTTGTCGGCAGCCACTGGGACACTGGGACTATCTCGAACAAATCCAGCATGTTTATAACAGTTGGAAATCGTCGCTGTCGTAAGCTTGTTCCAGGCATCATAAATCATTAGAATGGCATCCAGTATTGTGATCTTCGGAAACTTGGCACTCGTGTCTTCATTTGCATCAAGACTGACGACAATTTTTAGAACCAGATTTTTACGAAAGTTTGATTTTAATGCTCGAATTATTCCTTGGTCCATAGGTTGCAACACAGATGTTGTGTTAGGAGGCAGGAAAGTAAGAGTTATGCTTTTCAAGTCACTGACTGAGGGATGAGCTGGACAATTGTCAACCAGAAGCAGGATTTTTTTCTTATTTTTAGTCAGTTCACGGTCCCAATCGCGTACCCATTTGATAAAGATATCAGATGTCATCCAGGCCTTGCGATTGCTCTCATAATATACCGGCAGAGATTGTACATTTTTAAAACATCTTGGGTTCTTTGATTTGCCGATAATTAACAACTTCTTTTTTATCGTACCACTCATGTTAGCTGCAACCATCACAGTTATTCTGTCTTTCGAAAGTTTTCCTCCCGAGCATTTTTCCCCTCTAAATTTTAATGTTTTATCTGGCGTTAGTTTATAGAATAATCCAGTTTCATCTGCATTAAATATTTCGTCGTCACTAAATTTTTCGCGCAACTTAGGCCAAACTTTGGTTAGCCATTCGTTCACATCGTTCTGCTCAACTGACAAAGACTCTCCAGTAATTTTTCCGCCGACAATATTGTGTCTATTCTTGAAACGGTTAATCCAACTTGCCGAACAATCAAAATTAAAAATGTTTAGCTCTTTAGCAAAAAAATTTGCCTTTTGTTGAAGCATAGGCCCATTTACAGGTATTCCTCGATTACGTTGCAGTTTAAACCATTCTAAAAGTGCACAGTCAACTTGTTTTTGAGACGACACCCTCACACGTTTCGGTTTTAAAACATTCGCATTGAATAAAGATTCTATCTTGTGTTTATTTTTCTTAATTGTCGATATTGTGGAATGATTTACACCGAATTCCTTTGCAATCGTTATATTTGACTCGCCAGCTTCTAAACGTTGTATTATTATACTTTTTTCTTCAATGGAGAAACATTTTCGTTTTCTAGAAGCCATTTTTGTATGCGTAATCACTAATAATCGTCTGCGAATTACTGTCGAATAATAAACAGTCGCATTCCAGTCAGCGACGTTGTGGTAAAGAAGGTGCGCGGGGCGGAGACAGCTTCTTATCTACGATTTTTTTAATGGGTTGTCGTTGTAACCGGACAATATTGTTTAAAATTCCGTCGTTAAAAGCGGTCGGTCGTTATAAGCGGAGTCGTAATAAACGCATGTCTTTTCATGTTGGCTTAGATTAAAACCAAACATTATGCCTTATTTACGTCGCTAAAAGCGGTTAGTTGTTATATGCGAAGTCGTACTAAACGGACTACACTGTATTCCGATGTCCTTAAACACAACCTTAAGTCCCTTGTATATTTATATTTCTGTAAAGTTTTGGATATTCTTTCATCAAGATTAATATATTATGTTTGCGCCGCTTTTCCTCTAGATTGAAAGTAAATCGATCATAAAGGTGATCACAATATTCTGCTTCCTTAACCAGGCACTTAACTAATTGGAATACATGGAATACGATGATTCCAACCTTCTAAAACGTTATTACTGCGATGTCTTTGATCATGGCAATTTCACATTTCCTTGATAATGTGAGTATTTTCTAACCATTGTTTGACAAAGTAGTCATAAAATTGTTCCATTTTTTCAGAAATTGGAGAGGTTTCTTGAATGCGTATCCAGCCATCATCGATATCTTCTATGGGTAACAAGTCCAATATTTTGAACATTTTTCCATATACATTGATTGAAATGAAAATTACAACCAGAAATTTTGGTTTCGGGAAAATAATTTTCTAATGCACCAATCACTGCCTGTTCAAAATCCAGTTTTATAAGAGATGGTTTCCAATTTGGTAGTTTCTCTTTCATTGATGAAAATAACATATCGTATGTCTCTTTGGTTTTGTTAGGAAGTAACGCAAATATCAATGGAATTGTATTTGTCTCCTCTGACGTACTACCAATATCGATATGAACGGTATATATTTGACTAAATTGTTTACTGCAGCTTTTGAATGTTCCATCCATAAATACAGTGTCCTTACTGTTAACCAAAATCTCCCTAGCTTTGTTGCTGGCAAACACCAAGATTCTGTTTCCCGAGGGGGTGGTTTTGTCGATAAATAAAAATTTCGTTTTGTCGCTCATTGTAATAATTTCTTCTGGAAATACTATTTCGGATGCTGCCGCTGGATCTGTGAGCAGCCCACGCGCACGTTTTCTACAATCGTTTAAACCACTTTTCACTGAAGAGAATTTTGGGATGTCTGTCACGAAATCCAGTCCTTGACTATATAATCTTTGAAATTCATCTTGATATATTTTTAACATCGGCAAATAACTATTGTCTTCTAGCCTTTTTCGAGCATTGAAGAGACACTGCTTCACTTCTGCCGCTGCAACACTCGGCTTACACAATTATCCATAATTATGTGGCCTCGACATTTTTCAGTTTTCTCTTTCAAACAACTCCAAAAAACCATCTTTATTTGTTTTTTTTCATATGAAAACTGTACCCTTTATACAATGCACATGGTTTTCCCTTTGAAGTTTTAATAATTTGCACATCCATTTTTAAAACACTAATCACACTGATTCACAATAATTCTTGATCCTACTATCTCAAAGAACGCAATAGAAATGATTGACCATCAATATGGTCATTATCACGTAGAATTTTTAAGTAATTTTTCTGTTAACATACCCTTTGTT